AGTGAGGATTAAACCATTGCCCCCTGGACTGCAATGCCAGTACTCTGCCACTGAGCTAAGCTAGAAAAATATTCCGGAAAACTTAACTTATGAACAATTTCGTGCATCCCACGAAATTTCAATTTGAAAGATCGAGAAAGATGGAAAATACGAAACGTAAAAATAAAATATTTTATTCATCATTTAGCTATAAAAAACATACAGCGTCAGTAAGTATTCGAAACCCTTCAAGTGAGGATCGAACACGTGATTCCACGGCTTACAAGATCAATGCTCCGCTGAAAAGTGATCTTACTGAACTGTCAGTCATCTTACTAGATGTGCAATTTCGTTCATACTAATTCATTTCACTAGTATGTTAGAATGAGTGATAAGTTAAGGGAATATAAACTTCGCTTTATTCAGCTAATCAAGGGATTTTGTGAAGATTTCTGTAAATTTGAACCACGATCATGTGACGAGGACGACACCATCACTGTCACCATTTCTTCTAAGTTCCAATGCAAACCAAAGAGAGGACATTTCAACTTCGAAAGATTTAACGTGCATTGTCATGTGGAGTCATCAGAGATTATAAGCTCGACCTTATGATTCGCCGGCTACGAGTCCGTCACCTTGGCAACTAGGAGACCACGATAAGTCTAACTTCCTAGAAGAACTCTAATATATTGAAAGAAACTATGACTTGACTTTTAAAGATCTAATTATTACGTAAGAAATCGAGAAGGTTCAAATGCGCGATAAAATGAAAAATACATTATCATTAAGAATACCCTCTACACTAGAAATTTCCAAAACACCAAGTGAAAACTGAACTCTAGACCCATGGCTTAAAAGACTAGTGCTCTGTCAATGAGCTAGGATGGTGGCATCAACTCTTTATCTTAATTAATGTACAATTCAGATATACCAAGAAATTTTATTATGATTCCGTTAGTTTCTTAGAAGAGGACTATTATTGAAATATAAACTGTGACTTGACTTTTGAAGTTCCAAATTTTTCCTGATAAATCGAGAAATATCAAATGTGCACCATAAAAAGAAAAAGATATATACAATTAATCGCCAAAATATTCAAAATATCCTGCTACCGTAAGCAGTTAGTGCACTTGGCTTACGGCACAAGTGCATTAACTGAACTATGATGGCGACAGCGTTTAAACAACTTAAGAGTAGTAAGTAGGCTGAAAATCTTCAGGCTATCGATTTTGAGATTTTCATCTTTGTAAAATCTCCAATTCATGACCTTTCCAGTGATATAACATGTATGCTAATTTATGAATGAGAAGTATGTCAAAAGGACTTTTAAAAATAATCAGCTTTGCCCCACCCCCTTTTGACAGTTAAAAGTATAAACATTGTCTTTCTTAACCTGGGGAAAAGTTGCAAAGCCTATACTTATTTTATTTATTCATACGCAATTAACTTTAGATAACTGTATATTAACTGCCAGCTTAACTGTTAGATCTGCTAAAAACTTTTGGAGCCCATTTTGGATAGTGATTTTGAATGTTATATTTAATATTCAGTGATTTTCCCTGAAATTTAGGTCTATTCTAACTTTAAATTTATTTGTAATTAGTTATTATTACTGATTAGTAAATCTCCACGTGTCTAAATAAAGTGTTAAAAATATGTTGAAATATTTGAAGGTAGAACTATTTGTGAAATTTAAAATTGTAAAGTTGCCTTTCCTTTATGAAGGAAATTTAAATATATATTCGATTGTAACCAGCCGATAATGGTAGTATACCTAATGAATATAACATAAGAATAAATGCTTTGAAATGATTATAAAAGAAATTTCATATCTAATTAATTATAATAAAGATAACATTTGATTATCCATAATAAAGAGAAAACTAGTATTATAAAGTTGTAAAGAGATTAGACAAGACAAGGTAAGATTTTCTTATAATAATAAGATAAAATAAGATTTCTAATAATAATTACTGTTTTCTAAAATTTTTTAAAATTATGTAAATTTACTGTATGCATGTACTCTATGTTTCTTAAATGCAATTGTGTATACTGAAGTGACATTTTTGAAATATTCTTAAAACATTTAGCTAGAAAACATATATTTTAACAAAAATATAACAATTTTCAATAAATTCATAATGATGCTCGGTGAATTAAAATTTGTCTTTTTATAAAAACTGATTAATATATTTGAAAAAATTCACTTCAGTATAAATATAAATGTCTACTTAATATACAGTCAAAATCTTGAGTCTTAATGTTTAATAGTTTCCGAGAAAAAGGTATGAGATGATACATCAAATGTGATGTTTGTTGCCTTTTCAAGAAGCTTGTTACATACAGAAAAATACATAAATTTCATGTTTAAATACATAAAAACAGTTTTATTTTGGTTGTTTCAAAATCATTTGTCCAGTTGAGAATAACTTTTAAAGTTTAAAACTTAGAAATTGCGTCTGTAACAACAAAACCCCATGAAAACTTTCGAAATGACATAAAATCATGTTTTCTCAAATGCACACCAAAACCATATAGATAAATTTTTTCACATTATATTTATGATAATTTATGGTCAACTTTGATACTTGGATATTTGTAATGCATAACAGCAACAAATTCTTCAAAAATTTATACAGATTTTGAGAAAATAGATATAAATTTTACAGAATATTTCGTTAAACAAAAACTGAAAAATGCTATGTATGTATTTTCTGAATATTTTAAAAATTTTATTTCCTATTTTACTAAAAATATATTGACATGATGCTAATGCTTAATAAAATGGGGCAAATACATATTGTAATTCATAATTTTTGTGATGACATTTCATATTAAAGAAGCATTTTTCTCAAAATGATGTTTTTCAAATTATATGTACTTTTTTCTCAGAATTGACTGAAATGATCCTCATGCAAATTTCAGGGAACGTAACTGATATGTAACTATATATACTAAAGAGAGATTTTATTTATATTCTCAAAATATTTTGGTAGATGTCACTTATCATGAAAAAAATGAAAAAAGTTCATAGTGATACTTTTATGGTGCATGATTTTGAAAAAACTTAACAATATATTTGAAATCTCTCACTTCAGTATAAATATTAAAGCCTAATTAATATTCAGACAAAATCTGAAGTATTAATATTTAACAGTTTCTGAGAAAAAGGTACATAGGTACATGTAAAGATATGCTGATATGTGCTGATTTTTGTTGCCTGTAAAGCTTGTTATATACATAAAATTACATAAAACTCATGTTTAAAAAGATAAAAACAGTTTTATTTTGGCTGTTTAAGAAATCATTTGATCAGTTTATCAGTTATTGAGATCTGAAACTTTTAGAAATACTGTTTGAATGTGTATATACAAAACATTAATGAAAACTTTCGAGAAATGTCGTATAATCACATATTTCAAAATCCTTACTTTTAAATATTAATACATTATTACAAGGCATTCATGATGTTTAACTCTCAACTTTGATGTTTGTCATTCATCACAGTTAAAACTTCTTCAAAAACTGATACAGATTTTGAGAAAACTAATGTAAATATTACAAAACATCTCGTTAAACGAAAACTGAAAAATGCTATGTATATATTTTCTGGGCAATTTAAGTAAAATAGGAAACAAAAAAGTCTTAAAATAAATATAGGATAAGCTAATGTGTACTAAAGTGGGACAAATACATGTTGTAATTCATAATTTTTGTGATGAAGTGACATTTTATATTAAAAAAACATTTTTCTCTAAATCATAAATTTCAAACTGCGTATTCCTTTTTCTCAGAACCTATTCATTGGAAGCACATGCAATCTTCACTGAATATTACTGATATGTATCTATATATACTGAAGTGAGGTTTTATTAAATTTCTCATTTTTTTTTGTAAAAGTCAGTTATCGTGGGGGAAAAAATGACAATTTCCAAAAATTTCATAGTTATACTTTTACGTTGAATAATTTTGAAAAAACTTAACAATATTTTAAAAAAATCTCATTTCAGTATAAATATAAAAGTATAATTAATATACAGACAAAATTTGAAATTTTTATATCTAACTGTTTCTGAGAAAAACGTATATAAAAAAGCTCAATTTAAAATAAGCGGTATAGGCGGTCGAAAATTCTTAATGCAGAGTTTTAGTTATCCCGCGTAATTTCAATCCGTGTGTTAGATTCAAAGAATGAGAAATATTTTAAAAAGGCTCTAGGCCATTCCTTTTCAAGTTCCAAGTATATCCGGATACATCCAAAAAGTTCAAATGCACAACAAAATAAAAAAAATTAAATATTATGAACATCCTGCGTGAGTAAGAAATCGAAAAGCACAAAGCAAGTATTGAACTCAAGTCCCTTGGTTTACAAGCAACGCCCTTGGTAACGGTAACGGTTATACATTTAACGTGGAACCTTAGGGAAATCTCTATCATCCACTTATCATAATAAGTAGTAAGAAATAAGAATAATTTGCTGAAGTGTTAAATGAGAATATAAAGCAATCCACAATGAGTGCAGCCCAACAACGCTGGTGGAGGGGTGAGTGGGGAACCACTCATCCAGTTGATTTAGTTAATGACGTCACATCTCTGACAACCACGCCCGTCTTTCAACCGGCTAACGCATCTCGACGGAACGAGGGGAGAAAAAGGAGGAATTTCTTTAAAATCAAAGATTAAAGAGAATATTATTAATAAGTCCGTTACTCATTACCTCTTAAATAACTGCGTGTGGTTATTGAAAGGCAATTTTAAATAAGCAACGTCCTCTGCAAATGAAACATCATAGTTATGACCTTTACAACTTACTCAAGGCACACGTAGGTTTATTTCGCAAAATTGCTCTTAGAGTGTTAGTTTGAATTAATGAGACGCTTATTCTAACAAGCTATGACTTTGTTTTTCAAATTCCAAAAAGTTATCGTTAAATTAACAACGTTCATAAGCACCGTAAAAGGAAAACCTTACTAAGAATGTCTTAATTTTACAGAATTTGATAATATAGTAAGCAATCGAAAAGCCACCAGTAAGGATAGAACTCACTACTCTGCTTAAAGAGACCAGGGCTCTGCCACTGAGCTTTAATGGCGACGTTGTTCAGTAAAATTACTCAATGCGCACTCATGATCAATACGTTACATTACATTTAAAATATTAGGTATAATTAATAAAACACTTATTCTAACAAACATTGAATTTCATTTCGAATTTCCAAATACTACGGGTTAAATAAAAAGATACAAATGCACTGTAAGAGAAAAAAAATACTATATATATGAGAATACAGATAACAACACAAAAGCCACCAGTGTGAATCAACCCTGGTTTTCAAAACCAGTGCTCTGCCACTGCGCTATCATAGCAGCAATGTTCAATAATATTACTCTATGCACACTTATGATCATTACGAGACATTATTTTCAGATTATTAGGTGTAATTCATAATGATCAAATTTTAACAAACAACTTCTTTTTTCAATTTCCATATTCATCCCGTTAAATGGAGAACTTTCAAACGCACTGTGAGAGGAAAG